TAAATACGAATAAATAAAAAAATAGAGATAAAATAAATACGAATAAATAAAAAAAGATAGAGATAAAATAAATATGAATAATAAAAAAAGAAAGAGATAAGTAATGATAAGTAGAGATAAAAATAGAAAAATAGAGATAGATAGAAAATAAAGATGATAAGAGATGAAGTGCCAGGACACCAGAACCTGGTCAGAATTCTGTTTCTTGGCCTTAAAAATAAGATAGCGAGTAAAAAAAGATAGAGATAAGGTGTGATATAGTAAGAAATTGGTTTTTTATACAAATTATAACAATATAAAAGGTCAGATATGAAAAAGGTTTAAAGAAATAGGATAGAATGATAAAAGTAATAAATAATTAGAAATTGATTTATAGCGATATATATCGATATTAAGCAATTTCTTCTGTATCAAAACAACAAAAATATTTACGTGATATTATCATATTAAAATTAAGCATTATATTACATAGTATATAAATCTTAGCAAGAATGATATATACACATCATAGCAATTGTAATTACATGTATAATAATAAAAAAAAACTTACTATAAACTATAATTATGTGTATACTGACCTAAAAAATTTTTTTTCACTATCAGACGATATATATCACTATATATTTATTATATATAGTGACTAAAACAAATAAATCTTTTTTTATTATTATTTTTATATGATGATTGACATCATTATATATTTATTGTTAGTACATAATTAGTCAGTTCTTTTTTTTTTTTTAGGCTTATAAAGTCTATCAGTTCTATCATTTAAAAGGTAATGAACATTTTTAAATTTGTGAAAAATGGAAAACAATGCAAATAATAATACATCTTTCCTTATCTTACTTCCTCTATCAATGCAAATAATAATACATCTTCCCCTTATCCTGCTTCTCCTATCAACACAACCTATTGATCTAATATATCTAATATCGCTGAACCTCATACAATATCTGTTTGATCTAATACACCTAATATCGCTAGACCTCGTTCAATCTACATTTGATCTAATACACCTAATATCACTAGACTTCATTAACTACCTCACCCTCAAAATATTTATAATGAATCTGATTCTGATTCATCTGTTGTAAGTGCAAATAATTTTTTTAGCAATATGAGACAATACTAGCAAACACAAACAACCTAATCAAGATAGTCCAGACAATCTGCCTCCAGACAACCATCCCTATCTCAACTATTCTCATCTCAACCATTCTTATCTCAACTATCCCAACATCAGCAATCCCGAACTCAACAATCACCAACTCAACAATCCCTATCTCATTCTATTTCACATTAATCTAGATTTGTATCACTACAAATATGGGGAAGATTGTTATCACTTGATAGACGATCATCCAATCAGAATCATATACACAATCATAATGATCATGAAGGTATATAAATTTTTTTTTAATTTTTTTAGATGCTGATCTTATGATCTTACCATTTTTTTTTGATTTTTTTTTTTAAAAAAACCCGGTTTGAGCTCGTTTACACTGCCATCTCCACAAAAAGAAGACTGAAAATGTCTATTTACCCAAAACTATCAGTTATACCTCCTAATAAAGAAATTAAGTAATGACTTTGAAGATTTCAGAAGGGAGATGAGAAGTCAAAGTAGTGATCATAGCATATCAGGGGCTGATCTGTTAGCAAAAGTGTGGGATATAAGTATTGTGAACAAATATAGAATATATTTAGGATATACATTGAGCATTTTTTTTACATTTTGGAGAATGTGTACATTATATTGAGTGTTTTTTTATATTTTGAAAGATGTGTATATTAGCATTGTCAAATGCTTTTTTCCACAAATAATCTATCCAAACCAAGATAAACTGAAAATGGCCCTAAAGCACTACCTGGATGATAAGTTTCTGGAGTTTATGGTGAATATAAGTGCTAACGAGTTTACCAACCATTTTTATGGTGTGTGGTGTAGTTAAGTAAGTGATTTTATTTGCGTTTATTGTCTTTATATTTTTTTAGTAGCTCTTACAAACTATCTTTTTTTTTATAGTAATTCTTTTGATAGCTTCTATAATAAATAAAGAACCTTCATGGTTCAGCATTGCAAAATATTTGTTCAGCAATTTGGGGGTATATTCAGTCATGAAAACTCCCTCTCCTAAAAAGTAATGCTGTGGCTACAGATGTGGTTACGTAGAAACAAAGTATAGAAGTGAGCAATTGTTATCATTTGCTGTTTAAACAAGATGATGAAAGGGTACTATGTGTCGCTACTATTGCAAGAAGTGTATTCACCACCACCACTGCTCCTGTTCTCACCAACCACCACTGTGTTTTTACGCTAGTGGTATATAATATAATATTGAATCCCAGGTCGAAGAATATTATATGTAGCAAAAAGCAAATTAAGCACTGCATGGTGTAGTATTTGGTAAGTAATTGTAATAAATCGATATAAACCGATTTATAATTAAAAAGCAATTTGACCTTTATTTATTATATTAGAATGATCTGGATAATAGCAGTCCTAGTCCATAGTCAGCAAATACAATAGTTGATAAAGAACTTGCGCAAAGGCCTCATAATGATAAACATGCTTCTACCAACCTTGATCCTGGTCATGAACCCAACACTACATCTCTTTCTCAAAGTAATTCAATGATACTTTCGCAAGAGGAACAGAATAACTTGTTTGATATTGGTTACTAGTGTTGCTTTTTTTTGTATATCTGTATTCTTATTTATAAAAATATTATATATAAAACTTTTATATATTGTATTTATTATATGTATTGTATATTGCATATTGGAAAAATAAAATTTTGTTACTTTCAGTTTTACGTTCTTTTATTTTAATATTTTTCAAAATTAATTGCAGCAGTATTAAATATAGTGCTTTATATTATTATAGTTATATATCGATTTATATCAATATATATTGTTTATTATAATCTATTTATATCATTTTGAGGCTATATATCGATTTTCTTTGTTTTGGATATATATCATTTTTTTTATTTGGTTATGTGTCGATTACTATTTATTTTGGTTACATATTGATTTGTATTGTAATCATTATAAATCGATAGGGAGATTACAATCGATACATATCTCCATAGTTAATAATCAATATCTAGCAGTCTATTTTTTTGCTGATACTCTCTAAATACAATATATTTAAATATATATATTTATAGATTTTTATCTTTTTAAATGCTAATATAAGATTTTCTATTGGTACTTAGTCACAAGCATATTGTAAGACTAAGTAGTGAGGGCTTAGAAGTTTAGATCTGTACAAATATTTATTATTTGTTATTATATTTATTTATTTATAGATTTCTGTTATTGTTGTTATGAGGCAAAAAGATCTAGACATTGTTAGATAGTAAAGTAAGAAAAGAGTGAGATACAGAGATTAAACCTGAAAAAGCTTAGATGAGAAGATTAAAAATAGTTAAAGGAAAACTTAAAGTAGTAAAATTAGTTTAAGCCTAACAAAAAGCAAATGTTTAGATTTAGATATAGATCAAAATATGTAAAGCCTTATCTATATATATCTTGAAAGTATAAAAGAGATGCCTGTTCACCTTCTCAATAAAGCTTCAGACCTTAATGTCTTTAATATAAAGAATATTACGAATTGATTTCTCACTTGTTGTTATATGTTTAGTATTATATTGTTGTTTTGTTATTATTAAGTGATTTAATGATCACATTCTGTTTTGTAATATATTTATCATTATTACGTTATCACCGTTAAGCAACATAACATATCCTATTTTATTTTGTTATTACCTCATTATCTTATAAATATTTATATTCAATACCCTTATTTACTTTACCTGACACAAGTAGAAAAAAGACAATAAGCAACCAATTAGCAAATTTGCTTTATTATTACTTATAATATATAAATAGTTAA